CCCCAAAACCCCAAAACCCCAAAACCCCAAAACCCCATGATTCTTGGAAATTATTGGGATAAAATTAATTTGCACAACAAAATGAAAGGTTGATTCACTTTTGCAATCATGTTTGCGATATTTTGAGCTGTACAAGGGAAGATTTGTTCCAGCACCGAAGAACTCACTGCAACTCCATTTTTAAGGAAGTATGATAATTCTTATGTGGCATCTAACAGGATTTAACGCTATGGTTAAAAATCCTGTGCAAGATAAACTATATTTCATTTCATACTTCACAAACAATGTTTCAGTGAATGGATACACAGGAGTTGTAGTTACTGATTTTGACCTAGCTCTAGAGAGAATGGTATCAATTTATGGACTTCCGACTCGATTTGACCACGACATCAGTGATGATGGAGAGTACCTGTACTTATTATTAAAAGACACCACGCATGTGGTGGAGTTCTCAACTTCAACTTTTACCATAAGTCAATATCTTCTGATCTCTTCTGTGCAAGCAAATGAAGAAGTTATTGTGAAAACTGTTGGGTCTAATATTTTCATCACTGTGAAACAAACTGTTGGAAATGTTTGGGCTGTATGAAAATGGATTCGTGGAAATCCCAATATGGCTTGCTTTGATTATGGAAGAGATACACGCATAAATTACTCTCCAATAGACTCCTCAAATATATTTATAAATATCATGATTCCAAGTGACACAAAGCTCTATTTCATATCAGCAAATTACTCAGATACATCATCTCTAAATTGGTCAAAGCAGATCCAATGACTAACATCATGCTCTCTTGCCCCCTCAAGAGCGTTGACCAGCAGAGACGGTCAGTCCATCTACACATGAATATTCTTCTCGCACAGGATTCTTGTTTATAAGCTAAACTCAACTACTGGAGAGCCAGTCTTTTCAGGGCTCAAAACTTTCATAACTTCTGCTGTAGTGTATAACCTAGAAGAACTGGATTCACAAATAGTCGTGATGGCCAAGGACTATGATAGATCTCAAATTTTTATTATGCTAATCAAGAAGGACAATTTTCAAGGTAAAGCCATTTTGGAATAGTTATTAGACCTTGATTGGACAAATTTAGGAGGGATTTGATGCTTGTTAAGTTTTATATCTCGAGTTAAACATGTTTAATTGATGATTTAGATGAAATTTCTGAGTATTACCAAACTGGAGAATATTTTTACACATCAAAAGCTATTAGTTCTAATGGTAAAGAGCTACTTGTACTTGGAGGAGAAATTTCAAGCGATTATTCTTTTCTTAGAGTTCCTCCTCAAGATCTTGGGGTGGTTGATTATATGGTGCAAAGATCGACCATTTTTACTTCGATTTCGACCACTTTCGATCTCAGAGATCCTTCAACTTCACTCCCAACGTTAAATGTAACGACTCTAAGTATCACCAATCAGAGTTCAGCTGGAGTTGCAGTAAATACAGAAACAATCACAGAGCTAGCAGGCGAGTATTATGTAAACATCATGAATGATGACTTTAACAAGTCCTATCTTTCAGAAGTAGTCATCACTCAGACTCTGACTTTGGGCTGAACCAACTCTGCTGATCCTGTTTCCCTCATCCATTCTGTCCAAGAACTCAATGGCCAGTCAGTCCCTAGTTGGGTCTCCTTCGATGCTGCCACTGAAGTGCTCACTCTCAACAAGACACCGGTTGTGAATGGGACTCAGCTGTTCCAGTTTGCAATCCAATCTCAATACGGCTCAGACACATACTCCAAGCGAGTGTTCATCACTGTGGAGTCGTGCAGTCTAGACAACTGCAACGAGTGCCAGGCTGACTCTCCTCAGACTTGAACAGAATGCAAGTTTGGATACAACCTCAAGCAAGGAAAGTGTGTTAAAGCAGATGCAGGAGCAGCATCAACAGCAGCTCAAGCGGCTGCAGGAGTGGCCATGGCTCTGGCAGCTGCTTCTTCTGTAGTGTCAATGAGTTCACCAGTTGGAATGTTCAGCATGATAAATCAGTTACAGCTGTACATTCTGTTGCCAATGCTTCCACCATATTTCCCAGCCAAAGTAGGAGACTTTATTCTGGGTATGGACTTTGCTTTTGTATCATTGGATTTCATCCCAACTGATGATATTCCTCTGGTCAAGGAAATCAAGAAGCTTGTGTCGTATCCTCAGTCTGATGAGTACCTGAATGAAATCGGAATCAGCTCAGGCAGCTCCATTGTCAATTATCTTCCAATGGTAGTGATAATAGTTCTGATAGGCTTTCTCCATTTAATTACAACTCTCATTTATGTATGCATAAGAGAACACAAACCTGGAAAATGTAAGAAAATAATTGAGAAGTTCTTTGTGTTCATGACCTTCAACGCATATATCAGGCTGATCATACAAGGATTCTTGTTTCTGATGCTCTCGATCGTGTCTGAGTTCAAAGCCTTTGACACAAGCAGGACCATCACCATTGTTTCTCTGGTCATGTGATTCATGTTCACATTTGGACTCATTATATTCAGTATTCTTGCAATAGCATGGTATTTGTCAGGATGGTAAGCATTACATTTATATTTGTAGGTCCTCTGCTCCAGAGCTGTACAATCATTGGTCAATCACTGAGTTGGGATCAGGCCTCAAGAACACTAAATGGGCCAAGATGTACTCGCTAGTATTTCTTGTAGTAAGGCTGTCGTATGTTCTGGAACTAGTGCTTTTGTCGAATCCTGATCAGCCCAGAGATAAATCATTTGGTGTTTCGTCATTGAACACTTATTATGTTGAGTGGAGTCTGTTCTTTATAACTCAGTTTGCATTTTGAGTTTACATGATCTGGATCAGACCTTTTGATGGACAAGCAAATAATTTGGTTGAATGATTCAACCAGATATGCCTTACATTAGTGGTAGTGCCACTTTTGTTTATGTGATCAGAGGAAAGTTGGACTGAGTCAAAAGAGGATATTTATATTTATGCTTTATTAGCAGCTCCATTTTTTAATTCAGTAATTTGCTTTTGAAACTTACTTTTGATCCTGTGTACTAAATGAAAAAGTAGCAAAAAGAGAGTTCACACAAAATTGGTCAAACTCAAAACAAAACCCACCACAATCCAGAAAGAAGAATCAAAATTTTCAAATATGCCATGCCAAATAGTATCTCTCGTCTAAATTGTAGAAAAGTCAAGCTTCATGAGCAAACTTAAACCATCCAAATGATTCAAAGATGAGAAGGATAAATTCCTAAGTCTTCATATTCGTATATCCAAAATAATTATCAATCCTCAGTATAGAACCGGGGTTTTGGGGTTTTGGGGTTTTGGGGTTTTGGGGTTTTGGGG